AAAATTGTTAAACCAGGGCCAACTGACCTCACTAGTCAGTTTTGTTAGGACTTTAAAATATCAAGTTAACTAGTTAAAACTTTGAGGAGGAGGAAGATGGAGAAGGTCTTCAAATCAATATGAAAATGATGAAAAAGAAAGTATTTTGAGGGTATTTATTGACAGTACATAGAATATGTAGGGTTTTTTTATGTGTGTGTGTGTATGCATATATGTGGGCGCACTCACATTTTTAAACATTCATGTAATTAAAGTAAATTTGTGAGATACATTTTTGTTTTGATTAGAAAATAAGAAGGAATTTGGAGAACAGTGTGGTCTAAGTGGAAGATTGTCCATCCTTTCCCCACCCCGCTTTTGGATTATGACTATCAGTATAATTTAGGTTGCTTATATAACCTGTTATGTAGCTAGGATTCCAATCAAGTTGTTTATTTTCTTGCTTAACATAGTTTTTAAATTTTGTTCTTGCTAGTAGAACATGATGTGTAACATAATATGTTTTTGTACTTTTAGTTCATTTAACTTTTGCTCTGACGTTTTTGTGTACTCAAATGTCTTTCACCCTTTGACCCTTTTGGATGATTTCGACTTTCAAAGATTGAATATAAATGTTAAAATGGTTTATAAAAATAAGCTAGGCTTGATTTCCGTTTGAGAGATTGACAGAGGATTCCTGAATAACTTTTTTTAACTAGCAGAATGATAAATACATGCCAATTTATAATTTCTGAACTGACAAATAATAAAAATATTTTTTAGGTGTTTGTCAGTTTGTTCTTCACTCTTCTTGTTATGAAGAACACTGCTCCACCCCCCCTCCCTTTTTTTGAATGCTTTTGCGTGTTTTTCATGTCAAAAATTTCTTCTCTTTTGTCTCCTAGTCAGTGCAGAGACACTTCTATGGGCATCTGGAGAGCTGGGGGCCTATGATGGCTGATTCCTAGTTTGAAGCTATGGAGGAAACTTTTCTTGATCTGTGTGTGAATTTAATTCAAAGTTGTTATTTAGCATGGGAACTCAGGTTCTCTTTGAATTTTTTCTTCAGGAATACAGGGGAAATTAGTATGGGTTAGTTACATTGCATATGGAAAAGGAGATGAAACCACTTGTACAGTCTTTTGCTTGCATGAGTGACCCTTACCTAGTTATGTAAACTAGCTATATATTTGCCTCACATTTCATCTATGCCAATAGCAGGCCTTAAAGAAAATGTTTTTCTATGACTATTCTGCTCGCTTTCTGAGGTGATTGTGCAAATAATAGATGAGATGAAGCCAGGTCGATGATTGGTTTTAGTACTTAAAGGCTTAAAGAAACTGCTCAACTTGCATAGTTTCACTCTTAAATAATGTTTCCAGTGGATATTTGTTCCCTGCTGAAAATGCAGCTTTTTATTTTATTTTATTTTCATAATTGGGGGATGGAGAAGGGGAGAGCAGGACAAAAGTATCTTATAAAAACTGCAGAAAAACTTTTTCAATATTTGTTTGTAATGTTAGAACTTGTTTAAAGTAGGTACATGACTACACAATGACCCAAGGCTGAATATGGCATACATGCTTTCAGATTGAAGTCAAAAGAATAGTACTTTGCTAATTTCTGGTGCACCCTTCAAATGCTAATGTGTTTTCTAATCAACTCACTTAAAGTTTTATTTTTTTTCTATGTGGTGTTAATCTGCTTTGTGAATCATCTCCAACGATAATTAATACTTAGTTCTTTCACTTGCTAGATTGCATTATAGTTTGAAATTTCTTCACACATCATCAGCTTTATTTGACAGTTATTGTTGCTGAATAAAATATAACTTCAAATAGAAGCAAAGAAATTAACAGTTCATTTTTTTTGTAATGGAATGTGTTACTTCTCTTAGATGCTTGATAACCAGAGATGCTGTGTCTCTACCATCTCCAACTTGTCATAAAGGAAACGAGTTTCAGTCTTTCATACATGATATTAGCTAAAAGGCCAAGAAGAAATGGCCTCCTAAGTATTTCATGATAACAATTCAATGTTAGGGGTGCCATCTTTATTCTAAATACAGGGCTCATGTCTTTCATTGCTTAAATAGCTGAGAGTAATGTCTCTTCATATACATAGCTACACTGATTTCCAAAAATTTATTTGAAAATGATTGTTTGAAATCTGTAATGCATTTTCTCATAGACGCACACAAGCTGGGGTTTTTTTTTGTTGTGTATGTTTGTGCCTTTTGTGGAGATATATTTTTTCAAGCTCATTTTTTTTATTGTGAAATAATTCAACCATACAATTGAGAATAATATAACACCTACATACCCTCCACCAGCATTATTAAATTTTAACATCATGCGATATTTTCAAGTTGGTTTAATTCATAAAATAACAGAACAAAGTACTACGGAGATGAATTTTTGCTTAGGACCTAGTTGTATGGAAAACTGCCAGAAACAGCCCTTCCTGTGGGGCTGTAAGAATTCCCTGTCACCACATCCAGAGGAGGCTTTAGAATATAGCTTTGTGGCAGAGTCTAGAAGTAGGGCAGAATAATAGTTTCAAAAAACTGTAGTCTTGTCTCTGGTGCTGTCTCCTGTTGGAGTTGTCAGCAATGAGTTTAAGGTATGGGTGGGCTCCTGGGGTTGTGGGAGAGGAGAGAGCTGCAGCTGTTAATGTAAATGCATAGATCATAGCTCATAAATCAGGGCTGCTTGTCACAAATGCAGTGCCACCCTCCATATGAGTATCGACCACAAGATAAGCATCAGAATTGGCTTATCCATGTGCCTGTGGGAATGTTTGCATGAACCAGTTTACATTAACCGTGGTAATATAGTGTGTAAAGTTTAGTAAGTTGAGAAATCTTAAGACAAGACAGAATTCAGATCCTAGGTGTGTCTTTGCTAAGACTGAGACACTCTGAATACAGAGCTATCATAAAAATTCTATTAACCAGTTATTTTTTTCTTCTCTAATTTCTGTCTCTTATAAGAGACTTTGTTATCATTATTGTTAATATATGTACCTTTCTTTTCTTCAGAGCAATGGAGTTAATAAAGAGAAGAATATTTATTTATTACCTATATTCTTTCTACTGAAAGTATCAGCCTGCCAGACCCGACAAGGCATTACCTGGGACCTCGTTAGAAATGTAGAATCTCAGACCTCACCCCAGACAGACTGGATCAGAATCTACATTTTAACAAGGTCCCAAGGTGATTTTAGGTTAAAGTTTGAGAAGCAGTTGTTCTATATGAAATGTGTACACAGTCAAATTTTTATATGACTTAAATACTGTGAATGGGATAAATAAATAAATCGATTCATTTTTTTTTTAAACAAAAATCATTGGGGGTGACATTGATCAACAAAATCCAATAAATTTCAAGTATACAATTCAACAGTATGTTGTATATATATTGCATTATGTGTTCACCACCTATATATAGTTAGACTTCCATCTGTCACCAAATATTTGACCTCTTTTACACTTAATCTACCACCCCTCTCCCCCTCTTCCCTCTGGTAACCACTAATCCACTATCCAAAACCAATTCATTTTTGATTCACTAATCTTAGAAATTGGCTGTTAGGTGCGACATTCATTAATGCCTTCATTTTGGGTAATATCTAATAAAATAATATATCCATTATATTTGTAATTACTGATAGAGTCCCTCTCTCTTCCTTTCTCTCTCTCTCCTTAGTTGCATCATTTCCCCTGAAGATATTTCATTATTGTCCCTGATTACTGAGTCTTCTGGAGCTGAGATATGTCAACAACTGCCTTAATTACTTTGGTTAGAGGAGGTGGGAACCAGGTGAGAAGAAGAGTGCTGCTAAGCTCCCGCCTACTGCAGGATGACAGGTGGGTGACGCCCACATGCCACAGCTCCACTTCAGAGTCCAGGTGCTCTCGGTTTGATCAGGATGGTAGTGGGCATCCAACCACCTGGGATAATTTCGGGATCTGGGATAACCGCATCGATGAGCCAATTCTGCTGCCGCCCAGCATTAAGTATGGCAAGCCAATACCCAAAATCAGCTTGGAAAATGTGGGCTGCGCCTCACAGATTGGCAAACGGAAAGTGAATGAAGACAGATTTGACTTTGCTCAGCTGACAGAGGAGGTCCTGTATTTTGCGGTGTATGATGGACATGGTGGACCTGCAGCTGCTGATTTCTGCCACACCCACATGGAGAAATGCATCATGTATGTACAATGACTTTCACTCTTGACTTTGCAGTTTGCCTTATGCTTTGTGTTTAAACGTTCTCCTTTTGGCTGAGATGTTCAGTCTTAACATGGCTATTTGAGTGGTGGTTTTGTGCTATTGTTTTATGAATGAGCAGTAGCTCAAGCATGCCATTTATTACTGATGATGATTATTATTTCAGAAATATATGTTTTAACAACTCCCCTGGTGAGAGCATTAAGTATGTTAAATGACAAAAATGCAATGGACAAATTTTAAAGATCTAATTGGCTTTTTTGAATGATTCATGATTCAGGCAGCATCCTGTCTAACAAATAGAAAAGAACTCTGAGAAGCTGAACAAAATTAAAGTCTTATTATATAGGCAGAGAGGGAGGGGGTAAGAAAAGAACAGATTACCTCATCTTTGGGGGATGGAAAGGGCCTATGTGACAGGTTACCTCACTGTTGCTGACCAGAGAATTCCAGACTAACTTGTTAAGATTACATTCCTGGAGAAAGTTGAAACTTCAATTAGGTTAGGCACTAAGCCGTGGTTTGGTGACATGGAGTTAGTACAAGTGACTCGATTTTGGGCTTATTGGTTTTTTTTTAACGAGCAGAATCTACCTAACGGGATTTGTGATCATTTCAAGTGAATTAACGTAAAGTACATGACCTTATGTGCTATGGGAATCTATGAGAAGCATTTACCCCTATCAGTACATGGCACGTAGTGCTTCAATAAATGGTATTTATTCCCTCAAGTGGTATGAATAGCTTTGAATACTTGTTGAAAATAGCTTTAGATGACTGGCATTAGTATGGGGAAAATGCATTTAATGCGGCTGTTTTGGAGCCCTTTTCATAGTTTATTTACTGCAATTTCTATTAATGTATTTTTGAGGATTATACTGCTTTTAATACTGCTAGTATTAAAAGACAGGGAGAACATGGCCATGTGGCTATTGTTTTCCTGTGTATAGTTGTTCATACTGTTCATTATTGGATGTATGTATATTTTGCCTTATTCCGCAGAAGAACTCAATGGTTTAATTTAACACAAAGGAACTCTTGACCTCTCAGGGTTGCAGTACTGAGGATTAATCTTTTAAGATTAATCTTTTAAGACTTTTATTTTAGTGTCCTTAGAGACTTATCATTATGCTTGTTACCTAGTAGATACTTAATGAGCATCTGAAAGGCAAGCCATGGAGGTCCATTGCATGGAGTGACTGTTAACTAGAATGACCTCTAGAGGAGAGGAAGACTGAAACCTATTGTACAATTATTGCTTGGGGCTCTTTTTTCTCCCCACAAAGGGATTTGCTTCCTAAAGAGAAGAACTTGGAAACTGTGTTGACTTTGGCTTTTCTAGAAATAGATGAAGCCTTTTCGAGCCACGCCCAACTGTCTGCTGATGGTAAGTAAAATAATCGCATTTCTTAGGGTCCTGGGGAATGTCATGGAAACAATTTAAGTCCTTTAGCATTTGGGAATTGGATGTTTATGTTAAAAATTATTTTACATAAAGAATCACTTTAAATGCTGTTTGCATCCAAACTGATGTTAATACCTCACTTTTAAATGAAATACTTTGGAGAATTGTTCAGAAATTGAAGATCTAAAATGGGTCTGATATTGAATTTTAATTTTAAAAAGATTAAAACATTTTGAATCTTTTGCTTGTTTGATGGACAAGATGTCCATACTATGAGATGGTTTATTATTCTTTTTTTTTTCTTTTTTTCTTTTTTCCCCCTTCCCCCAACCCCCTCGAGGGTTTATTATTTTTGTTTCTTCAGATAAATCTGATGAACAAATACTGAAATATAGTATAAGGTAATCTCATCTAGCCAGGACAATAATTGTTCAGGCAAGAGGAAAAAAGCTAATTGATTCTAGAAAGGAAAGAACAATGACTAATATACACTAAATACTTATTAATTGTATAATTAGAATGAAGATATTTTTTCTCCCACTCTCAAAAGCTTGATCTTGCAGCTTTTCTGTGGTAATGAGTGATATTTTGGTTTTATTTGTTAGACATAAGGTGAATTGAAAATTTCGTGTACTATGTGTCCTTAAATTTTGAAAGTAAAATGTTTCTGATTTTGACTAAATTTATCAAAACCATTTCAGGAAAATGTAGTGAATGTTTTCTAGTTAGCTGGCCCCAAAATATTTTGCTCAAAGCTTAATCTTGAAAACTTGTGCAGCAACCATGTAAATGTATGCATATAAAGTGGAAACGAATCATGCAATAATTATTAACCATTGTTTGGTTCATCCTCTTGTTTAAAGAAGCTCAAAGTGCACCACCGGAATGTCATTTTCACAATTTTCAGTTGGAGTTCCTAGGCATGGAAATTCCCCCCATTTCCCAAATAAGGAACTGAAATTCAAAGAGAGGTAAAGGGCTGTTGCTGGGGTTTTTTTGGCACCCACTGCAGCCTCTCTCGTGGGCGTATTTAATGATGAGGATTAGACTAGATGACTCTAGGATGGCTCTTTTTGCCATCTCTAGGTTTTTCCTGCTCTTTTTGAGAAACTTTCCATCATCATACTCCTCAGAAAAGCGTTAGAGTCCGTCTCTTTGTTCAGGAATTTATTTTCTCACTCGTAGATCATCTGGCCCATTTTCTTATCTTCTCCTTCATTCCTTTGGACTTTTTTTTCCTTCTAGCTGGCCCCTCACCTTATCAAAATAGGGGCTGAGAGAGGGCACATTTTAGGCATAAGATTTATCTCTTATTCCTAATGGGTAGAATATATGAAGGAGAAGAGAAAATTAAAACACTTTCTTATCATTTTATTTTTATAACTCTGAATATTGGTGTCCATATCAGCATGCTTATTTCATCCATACCAAGCTTGGCTGTATCTCACATCAAGATGTTTTTTGGCTGCAGTGCAGGTGGTGTGCCCTAGCTGTTCTATAAACATGCAAAGCTTACTAGGCCAGGTTTTCATTAAGTGTTTTGAGAACAACTTTAAAATTTATTATTAATAAGTTGCTAAGGCTTTCAAAGATGGTAAAAATTGCCTTTTGATATTTGGGACCTATTTTATCAAATGTATTAAAGCCACTAAAGATAGGATGCTTTATGTTGTTTAACTTTTTGATTTGTGGATTAAAAAAAAACAGACCGTTTCAGATTTCAAAGTCATCGTTCAGTTTTTTTCTAGTTTTTAGTAAGAACTGAAGTAGTATCAGTATTAGAAGAGTGTATAATATTCTTTTTGGCATAGATATGAATAGGACCAGTGTCAGTTAAATAAAATTGTGAAGTTAATGCAGTTTACCCTCTCCAGTTTCCTTCTGTCAGCCCCATTTCTCCTCCTTGAACCAACTCTTCCTGTGAATAGCTTATTCAGTTTCAAATCTCCATTGTTCAGCACTCTGCATAGAATCTGGAAGGTGCTCAGTTGGACTGAACTGATGTCTACTGCCTACTTTATCTCACTAAAGCTATTATAATTTATTACTTGATTATCTTATAGCTGATTTAACATGATTATTAGTATAATGTATATGTTTTAATGAGTTATAGCTCATGAACAGATTCGAATTTAAGTACGAGAAACCTGAAAAAAGATTGGTTAAACCATAGACATGAGTCACTAATGGCGGAATTTCAAGTATAAATGAGAGGAGTGCCCCTCAATTATATATTAGCTTTCTTAAGAGAAAGTGAAAATATAATAAAGTGAAAATAAAACATTCTCATTTTTTTAAGACTTTAGTCCAAAGCTGTCACATCTGCATAAATTACTTCAAATTATCCCATTAGCATTTAAAATATTTACTATTTTAGTTTAAATTGGGGGTGGTTTGAGGAGAATAAAATCAGAGTGCCACTTACTAACAAAAAGAAAGAATCTTGCCCCTAAGAAATACCAGCTATATTTATTGACTTGATGAATTTCGAATTTACCCTTATTTATAAATAGCTAATTTCATCATCATCTTTGAATATTTTTGTATTCAATTTATGCCAGTTATGTATTTTTATAATTCACCAGTCAGTAAATTCAAATGGCATTCCATCTGTCTATTGCTTATGAACTAGTTGTCACTTAAGCAGAAGGTAGAAAAATTAGATTATAATACTATATATCTGATAAACTTCATAGTGTTTTTAGATTGCATAAGATTTGAAAGCAACAACATTTTTCAAGAGACAAATGGATAAAAAAAAAGAGAAGACTTGCTCTGTCTTTCAGAGTTGGAGATGGTGACAACAGTGTGAGTCTCATCGGAAACTTCTGTGCTCTTCATATTATGTGATCTCTTTATAGAAGAATTAAACTACTACACAACCAGTGTTAGAAACACCATGTTTTTGAGCATGCTTCTTATGCTGGGGGTAGCCAATAGAAAAAATGAGGGAATAGCATTGAAGAGAGATTCTTATTGTGCTATTACTGCTCTCAGCTTATTACTTTGATTTTGGGGTTCATGAGTCATACATGTCTGAAAAGCCCATTTTTAATAAATATTAAAACAGTACTGGTTTTATACAGTTGAATAATTACTGAGGGGAAGAAGATTAGACTTTGAAAAGCATAGATTTTTCTCTTTCTGTTGCCTTTCAAATTCTCCATCATTTTTCTTCTGATATGTGGACTTGCAACACTGGGGGAAAGAGAGAGCTGCAGAAACACCCTTTTTATGAATTATATAAAACTATAAACATGCATTAGAGCTCAAGAGCCTTATCAGCCTTTATTTAAACAATTAATCATTCTACTAAAAAATGGCTTCTAGATACTGAATCCTGCATTGAACACCAGAACAAGTGTGTTACTCCTTGCATCTGATTTTGGACGTGCTTTAATTCCTTTTTGATATATTTAAATCCCAGTAATTTGGTGGTATATTGTAGTTCACATCCTCTCTAAGTACTGCTTGTCAGATATGATGAATATTTTGTTAAGCTCATGAAATTTCCCTTCTGTTATTGAGACAATTCTGATATCGCTACCAAAAGAATATACAGTGCATTTTTTTCAAATCAATAAAGGTACTGATTTACTCTTAAGGCCTATTTGAGTGACTGTGTGTGTGAGAGAGAGAGAATATAAGTATGTAGATGTGTGTCTGTGTCACTGAATGTTTTTCTACACATGCATTGTTATATAGTTTTTCTTGCTTTGGGAAGCCACAAAACTTAAGTGTTACTCTGTGATGAAAAATAGACTCAACTACAAAATACCATCAACTTGGGCAAACTGAGTTTTGGAATCTTTGATTTGGCATCCCCTGGAATATTATGTAATTTGCAAGTGAAATTTTCACTGAAATAAAAACCCTTCCCCTTATTTTGCAGCTCTTTCTCTGCCCTCCCCTGTGTTGCAGGTTTGTAATGTTTGAACAAAACTCCTGGGTGAATTTCCTATTTGCCTCTGTGCGTGTTATTTGTGGCAGAGAACTGTGCCTGGTCAGCAGCTCTAGACCTGGAGCCCGTGGACACTATATGCTGGGCTTCAGTGGCAAGAGAGATCTGCTTAATTTTGTCCCAGGTGGAGGAGTCCAGCGGTTCCTAGCCTGGACTACTGGAAGGTTTTCACATCCTTTTTGTCCCATTAGTTGAGATGACTTGCAGTAGAAAATGTCCAGTGAGTGTTAAGAACTTATTGAAGATGTCTTAGTTTTATAGTTTTGTTGTTAGGACAAAAAGTGAGAATTTTTACTTCTATGTTAAATGAAAATAAATGTTGACTTAATATTTATATTATTAGATGCTTAGCAAACCAGAATCAACAATTTTGAGAACTTTCCCATATATCCTGGGATTTTGGAACTGTCAAGTTGGGTTGGTAAAAATTCAAGCTCTTTCAAATTTTTAGGTGACCGAGCCATGAGTTACAATCCTAAACAGCTACTCTTGAAATTTTCATTTATGAAATTTTAACTCTTTTGTTGTAGCCAATTAAAAGCAACTTTTTTGTAAAGCTGCTGCTGACAGTTTAAACACAGGAGAGGAATTCTGAACTCCCTGAGCAGCTATCACCTGAGTAAATGCTGTCTTCCCTTGCCTGGCTCCTCTAGTCATTTGAAAATGTTACAGAAGATAGACTGTCGAGAGTCCATTGTATTGTATTTGGGGAAACTCAAGAGTTAACATTTGTAATGTAAATATTACTGATACTTATGCTAAACATTTCTGTTGTACATTGACAAATATACTTTCGCATTTCCAAGATATTGTTGCTGTGGCATAATAGTTCCAAAATCAAGAGACAAATGGGAAGACAGTAGAACTAGAAATACTATTTTTCAATAAAGTCAGCATGGATATAAATGATTAAGTAGAGTTTATTCATGTTTTTCTATTTTACTTTTCTGATTAAAGCAGGCATTTTTATATGCTGATTGGAAAATATATTTTTATGTATATCTTTCCAAAATGCATTACTGGTATAGTTTTTTCTTTTAAAAAAACTTGGAAATATTGAGCCTCAATCAGTCAAATCAATAGCACTTTGTTTTTCCTAAATCTTCTTTGAAGTCAGTAGTCTTTGGATGATAACCTGAATATTTGATTTAGATGCTTTAGGGAATTAACTATGTTATAGAAAATAATACCTGCTTTAAATAAGTTATTATTTTTTCAATTTCTTCAATTTGTTTACTTTTTAGACCATAAATTCACAGTATTTCACTTTAGCAAGGCTCAATCACCTTAATTTTTTTTTTTTTTTTTTTGACAAGTAGTAAAGAACTGAAGGCAGACACTGTTAGAATAGTTCAAAGGAAGATGTAAAATGCAGTTTGGATTGGATGGAGGAGATAGTGGTGACCTCAGGCCAAGTAACATTTAATTTTATTCCTTATTGGTCTGAGAAAATTAATATTCTTGGAGTGCTTTTGGCCCAGGGAATGACCACAGGAACAGCACTTAGCTGTACTATCCCGCATTTGGATACAGACGGAGTGTATTAGATCCTTACGGAGCTAAAAGTGTTAACTATATCAAGTTTGTGGGAAACTAGAATGAATATCATTCTCTACCCCGCAAATTTTCTCCTAATATAATGATAGTTGCAACTTTGTTTCATGTCTGAGAACAACAAAGATAAACAGAAAAGAATGTGAGCCTTTAACCATTTTAGAGTTTTTTGGTGAGTTTGTAGAATGAAAGAATATAAAATACAGCACTTGAAGGGCTAATGATATGCCCTTGGCATATCTTGCTTAGCCCATTAATTGATAGTACTTTCATAGGATAGGAGTAAGAAATGGAAGAAAAAATAATAATCTTCTGAGTCCATAGATTATAGAAAAGTCGGTTTGCCTGAATGGCTCAGTAGACCTAAGTCACCCTGCCATATTAGCTAGTCTAATTAAAATGTAATACTTTTAATCCTGACACCTGATAATACACACAAAGGTGTCATAATAATTATTATAAATTTATGTCAGCTGTACTTGATATAAATTGAGGCCATTTGGAGACAGTGATGCATTGTTTACGAAATTAGGAAGTAACTTTTTCTGTTTGCATGGAGCCTTGTTACTGAATTAAATACTTCTTTCTATGCATGCTCTTACTTACATAGTTCACTTGCCTTTTATTTGCATAGCTCTAGTTAAATTAGAATGATACATTTCAGCGTTAGTTTAACATGCCTGTTTTATTTTGTAATAAAAATTCAATACAATCATTTGACTGTCAATAACTTGTACTCTTCTTCATAATGTTTACAGCAACCCTTCTGACATCTGGGACGACAGCAACAGTAGCCTTGTTGAGAGATGGTATTGAACTGGTTGTAGCCAGTGTTGGGGATAGCCAGGCTATTTTGTGTAGAAAAGGAAAACCCATGAAGCTGACCATTGACCATACTCCAGAAAGGAAAGATGAAAAAGAAAGGTACCACCTCTAACTGATCAATTATTCTGAGAATGTTATTTATATATAGTTCATAGAGATGAAACCTTGTATTTTAAATTGATTTCATGCTTAAGTTTAACTGTGCCTTGGTTTTCTGGATTTCGCATCAGAGTCTAACTTTTTCTTGACTAGGATCAAGAAATGTGGTGGTTTTGTAGCTTGGAATAGTGTGGGGCAGCCTCATGTGAATGGCAGACTTGCGATGACAAGGAGTCTTGGAGATTTAGATCTTAAAAACAGTGGTGTGATAGCAGAACCCGAAACAAAGAGGATTAAGGTAAGAAAGGACTTGAAAACACTTGATACACATACAAGGAATGAATGCAGTGTTGTCTCTGGCTGTGAGCTTTTTTGGAAGCCTTAAGTGAAGCCAAAATGATTTTTTAAAGGGAGTAATTAATGGAAGAATAGATCAGCTTTTCAGACAAACTAAGATACTATCTTCCAAGCCTAATGTATGTTTGGTTTTTGTTTCACCCAGCTATGGAATTCTGGTGGAATGGCTCTCCCGCCCTTCCTTACCTGTAACTGATCATTTAAGTGTCACTTCCATTTGGAAGCTGACCCTGACTTCCCTTTTCCAGCAAGCTGAATAATCGTGATATCTTTTGCATGCTATTAATTAATATCCACACTTCCCCCAGCACACATCCAGTCGTGAGCTGACACCTCCCTCTCTGCAACCCCTGTACTACTCTAGTGCCTGGTACAGTATAGTATAGGTTTCCAATAATGGCAGCAGACTTTATTAACAGAATGACTTCATGTCTTATAGATAGCCCACTTTTATTCATTTTATCTAACAAATACTTATATAGGATTTATTATGTGTCAGGCTCTGTTCAAAATAGCTACTGCTATCCCATTGCACAGAGAAAAAAATCTAAAGCATATAGAGCTCAATTTAACTATGTTTGCCAAAAAAATAGAGACAGTTTTCAAACTCAGGAAACCTGGCTCCAGAGACAGTGTTCTCATATCTCGCTGCCTCTCGCATTCAGCTATCTGACTGTTTCCCTTTTAGTGTTCCTAAGTAAATGTTAGGTTTGTGCTCCGTGGTTGATGCCAAATCTTGCTACTTTTGCCCTAAATACAGGCCTTCCATTTTCACTCTGTTTGCTTATTAACTGTTAAATACAGATGACCACTCGGCAAACAGATAAAAATCTTTGAATTAAGAAGATTAATGCCAAGTACAGTTTATAATCCTGTGCACTTCGTTCTGACTGCAGCTACAACATGCTGATGACAGCTTCCTGGTCCTCACTACAGATGGAATTAACTTCATGGTGAATAGTCAAGAGATTTGTGACTTTGTCAATCAGTGCCATGATCCCAGTGAAGCAGCCCATGCAGTGACTGAACAGGTGACACAGCAGAGCTTCTGCTAGAAAAGTCCCAAGGTGGGGGAGGAGAGGAGGACAAACCCGAGTATAGGATGTGGTGCAGGCTGGAGGGACTACCACAGGCTTGAGATTACTTCGAAATCTTGTCTTTTAGCTTCAGTTTTACAATGAATTTTACACTTGACTCCATAATATTTCCAACTTAAAAACATTTTTTTATAGTTCTAAGTAGTTAAGTAAAATTAGTATGCCAAGGAAATGTATTGTTTAATTTTTAGCTTTGTACACACATCTTGAAATAATAATAATCGCAATAGTAAATTATAATAATAGTAAATACTAATATATCCCTTACTATGTGTCGCTCTTCTGTTGATATATATTTGACTCATGTAATAATCACTATAAAACCCTCTGAGGTTGGAGCTAGTAATATCTCTTTTTCATGGATGAGGAAGACTGAGGCACAGAGGCTGAGAAGTGACTTCAAGATCACAAAACAGTTAAGCTGCAGAATAGTTGTTGCTTAAACTTCAAACTGACAGCCAATTTCCCATTTAACTACTTAACCATTAAATGAGACTGCTCCCAAGTAATTACCCAATATAGAAACACTACAGCATAGTCAACTTCTGATTTCGAGAATGGGTGTGTGAAAACAAACAAATACAAAAAAGGTGTATGGATGTTTTGTGTGTCACTGTGTCAGTCAGAGCTAAAATTTGGAAGCTGGATAATACCTAGTAAAGAAAATGTAAGATTTCCATGTGTTGTTTAATATTCTGTTTGGATAGGTAGCTCTTTTAAGTTATAGCCCACTGATCATTAGAGGCAAAGTTTAATTCAAAAGCTATTTTTCATTTCCCAAGTTTTACATTTTCAATTCTGGAGGTAAATTTTGCCTAAACTTTTTTTTTCTTACACTTTTTATTTTATTTTATTTTTTTCAATTACAGTTGACATTCAGTATTATATTAGGTTCAGTTGCTAGTATTTGTAATTAAGATATAAGACATTACTTAAAAAGCATTATTTATTTGAAAATGAATGGGCAAGCATGAATTATGTTCACTTGGATACTATGTATGCTCATGAGATTAAGGAAATGGGCCTAGTTCCATGGATATCACTTCTTTCCTTATTTTAATTACCTATCTTGAGATACATGTGCTCTAATTCACGAGGTCAATAATATTTATAATGACTGCATAGGATTCCAATATATTTGTATACATTCATTTAACAGTTCCCCTTATCAGCAAATTTAGTTTATGTTCATTTTTCCATATTATAGGAGGAGCACTGTAACAAACATTTTTATATCTATTTGTGCATATCTATTTTCTTCAGACTTCAGGTTAAAGTCTTAGAAGTAAAATTGCTAAATATAAGAATACACAGCATTCTAAAGCCTTTATAAGTTTGCAAAATTGCTCTCCAGAAATATTATTCTAGTTTACACTTAGAAATAGTATTTCATAGCTTGTATTTCTCATCTCTACAGCTTGTTTTTTTCCATTATCTTATAGGCATGTTTGTCTTTTTATGGTTATTATAAGAACTTCCCGTATATTAAGTATATTAGTACTTTGTCTGATATGCAATTTTTTTGTGTGCGTCTTTCAATTTGTTTTAAAATTTCTTTGTTTTCTGAAGCTTTTTACATGTGGTATTTTTTATCAATCCTTTCCTTCAGAGGTTTCAGCCTCAGGCTGTGAGGTCTTTTGAAATTCTTTTGTTCTTAAATATAATCCCAAGAACTCTTACAATGCTGACGTTTTGAATTTTTGAATTAGTTTGAATTTACTGTTTGAATTAGGTCCTGAAATTGATTTGCAGTTCTCCTACTGTAGGAAATTGTTTATGCCACTTTTCTATTTTGTAGGGTGCATAATAAACTTTTCTGTAGTTATAGCTTTATATATATCCACTTTTTTAGGTTATTTTTTAGGCTAAATTCCTAGAAACAGAAATACTAGGTAAGGACTAACACTTACTGAGTCTTTACCTTGTATTAGTCTCTGTGCTAAATGCTTTACATGTATTTTCTTCTTCAGGAGTTGCATATCTTATATCTTACTTAGTCCATGGGTTGTTTCTGTTGCCAAAATAACTACAATGGGATATAGTAATGTGGTTGTTTTGGATAATCTATTATGCTGTGTGCAATCTAATAAATTGTGTGGATATCGATATATGGTGAAAGAATCACAATCCAAACCACTGTGACATAATTTGGGTTAGTAACTGTTAAATAAGCTTGACCTTCCAGAGGAAGGATGATTTCTCTTTGTACGGACTCTGATTTCCAGTGTTTTTTTCTTCCTTCCTGCCAAATTTTGCAGGCAATACAGTATGGTGCTGAAGATAACAGTACTGTAGTAGTGGTGCCTTTTGGTGCTTGGGGAAAATACAAGAACTCTGAAATCAATTTCTCATTCAGCAGAAGCTTTGCCTCCAGTGGACGATGGGCCTGATCATTTGCCGAGACTTTGAGTTTTTGTGCAACAGTTATTTGGTAACTAAATCAAGAAACTGATTAAATCAAAAAGTTAACTATGTCAGAGTGACCCTGTGACTCACTAGATCAGTATACAAGCCAGTGTAAACCTAGTAATCCTTTACATGATAGTTTTTCAGAAATATCCATCATATTTATGTTCAACTGTATATACTTAGTGTAAATATATGTGTAATACAACTATTGTGAGTCTAAGTTGAGTGAGCAAATGAAAAGTGGTTTTGATATACATGCTGAATGTTAAATTTCTAATTTTTAAAAGTCTTAGGCAGCTATGAGTTTCTTTTGTCCCCATTTGTTCTTTATTCGTTTGAACAGGTTCTTTCCTCCAGGTTCTTCAAAAGTAGTATGTTGATAGCTACTCAATGTCCTTTCAGGAAGTGTTTCAATTTTTGATAACTGTATCAAGAAATAAATGTGAAACTGAATTCTCTGTTATTATATTTTGTATTCTGGACCACTTACTGGGAAATATAAAAATGTGAAATAAATTAATTCAGATAATATGACAATGCTAAATTATACATATATTTGTAAACAGTGCTCTTATATATTTCAACTATGACACCAGGTTCCCTCTCCCCCAATTCATTCCTATTTTGTAGGTAAGAATGCTATAGATATATGACTCTTCCTTCATATCAGAAAAAAGTGCACAGGCTGAGTCCTTTGGTCAAAGCTATACAAAGTTAACTACAAATGGTATAAGTATCTTGCATAAAGTTTGCATTTGTTATCTCTGTTTTGTATATAGTATGCTTATATCACCGTATAGAGTAAGCATGTTGGATAATTTGTTAGTAAAAACAATACCACATTGACTATTGGTACAGACATAGCTTGAGGTTTACGTCTCCTTTTTGCTTATTTCTAAGACTCATAATAAAGATTAAATCAAAAATATTAAAACATTCTATATTTCAGCGTGGTAAGTAATTTGGGAGTATAAAACTATACTTCCTTATATTTGCAGGTAGGTTTGCTGTTAAAATGTAAATCTCTAAATGCGTGTTTGGAATTATATCTGCAGTTTATTTCTGCAGATAGTGTAAATTTGTTATATGTGTGAGTGTATGTACATATGTATATTTTGGAGTAATAGAAAATTAAAGGGAACGATCCTGAAAACTACTTCACTAACCAGTTAGCTTTAAATGATTGGTATGTTTATTCTTAAGGACTCTTGACAAACAGGGACAGTTTTATAGTAGAGACCCAATGGTTATTGGCAGATCAGGAAATAGAATTAAAATGGCTGTAGAAGATATTTCATGGTAGGTAACTTATGTGGGAAACCCAGGAACAGAACCAGCATGTTGAAGCTACGCTGTTGCATAATGGTAATTTGTATGTAAAAGTATAGGATGTGAGAAAAATATTAAGTGTGAAGAATGGCGGAGTTTTGTTGTAGAAGCAAAAGAAAAAGAAACCAAAAAGATAAAGTTGGTATAGTACGTATCTTCAGCTCTCAGTTTTCAGGGTTAATTTTTTTTCCCCTTAAGTTTTATTTAAAGCTTATTAGAAGAAAGAGGGCCCGAGATATATATTCACATCTTTTCCTCACTTTTTTGGGAATGAAAGAGAAGAAATATTAAGTTTTCCAGCCTATATTAATCAGGAGTTACCTTTGGAAAGAAAAAAGAATAAATATTTCAATTTTTTTTATTCAAAGAAGTTTGGTGAAAGAAAGAAAGACATTATAGGAAAGAATATAGTCTTCTATTTGTTATTTGAGAAGTGAGGACCGAAAGGTAGCCTAAGAAAGCTGGAAAACTTTCTTGCTCTTTCTGAGTCAGATCCTGGAACATAAATATGGTAGCTACATTTAGGAGTATGGAGAATTTCCAAGGTAATAAGCAAACAAAAACTAAAGCACAAAATGACATTTAAAGATACAAGTTTTACTTTTGGTTTGAAATCTTCACATAACTATTCCTTTTTTACTTTCAAAACTAAGGGTAGGAATGTTGTTATCAAGTTCAAAGATCTGAGTCATACTACATTAAGTTGGATTGCCAAGATTGACAATGAGGAATTTGTAGGGTATATAGGTGTAGGTCAGAGGCGGGGCCTTGCTCTGCTTCACCTCAAAAGCTTTTAAAACCCCAAACCAGTTAACTTTGACTAAGGCATAAAACATACTGATGTTTGTTTTAAAAGCCACACTGTTGAAGAATAACTTGTAGATTATTATAATCCATAAAAGGTAAACATACATGTATTATGCTTCTAAGTCTATTGCTGGGAATTATGCACAAAGTGAAAAAAAAGACTGTTCTAAATATAGTTTTTTAGTTTTATCTGAATTTGCCATGTGGTTATTACCATGTGAGTATAGGTATGGTGTCAATTACATTAATGTAATTAAATTTAAATTAATTGTATTTATGTTTGCTTTTCATTTATATGTAGTATATAAATCATCTTTCTAAATGTGTGGCCAAACTTTATTTGCCAATTTTTTTTTGGCAAAATTATCTTGAAATCATGATTTTCACAAGTATAAGTTGTTAAGTACCTTATATATTCAAAAGTAAATGCCATCCTGCTTTCTATCAGCTGTTCGTTTGTTATAGATCTTTGTGTTTAAGTGCTTCAAAGGCTGATACATTTTTTAAAATTAGTTTTGGAGGGATCAGTTTTGAATCTCTGTACTCTATGATGTGAACTTTTCTTAAGTTCCAGTCTTTTAAAAAATTACTTACTTTGAAGAATTATTAACACATAATCTAAATAGAAATTATTTTTTTTTCAAAGTGGAATTTTGATTTTTTTTCTAAGAACCTTGGCAGAAAATGTGTAGGCCCATGCTATTTCTTCAATATCAGAGAAGACATTTATTTTCCTTTCTAGGAATGGACAGGGATTTAGTTTCATGGTAATATGACAGTAAGAAAATGCTTCAAAGCAGGGTGGGAGGAAGAGATGGTTAAAGTTTACCATCAAACATTTAAACGTATAATTTTCTTTAGCACCTCAGTTGTTCACATACCCATATCTGTGAAAAGTGACATAAAATTTTGGTTGAGTTATATTTTATTGTATGTATTAGATTCACTTATCTGGATTACTTAAGCAGAAATAAAAAGTCATGTCTTTAGAAGCCAAATTGTGATGACCTGCCCGTTGCTTTTGGCATCTGGAATGAGAACACTTGACTCTGGTAGCTCCCATTGATTGTTAAATGGTTGAAATGGTCCATTGATAGTCATATTGATTGTTCCGGACTATGAAATCATAGAGTTCTTCCACCTCCAAGAATGACTCATCTGCCATTGGCTTCCAGTACAGAATTTAGCTGCTTGGTTTGTCCAAAATGAATTTAATTTCTGCTGAAGCGCTCTTGTACATGTTTGTTTTATAATTTACCAAAATTCTACTTGGGCGTATAGCGTTTCCTATAGTGAGCTGATGTAATTGCTGCTTTGACCATTTTAAATGTATGTATTAGAGTAACTGTGAACAGACTAAAATCATATATCTCAGTGTACAAAACACCATTTTAATAAAGTGTATGCATTAAACATTTTCTAAAATCCAACTGTGTTTATTTGGCATAAGACTTTCCAGCATTTATTACGTGACACTGTGAACACTAATATAAAAGAGTAAGTGAATGGTTGGAAATTTCGTTTAGTAGCCAAATTCTGGCTCTTTGCAAAGTTAATGTGAAGAATCTTTGAAAAACATATATGCACTTATCTATTCAATCTGTTTTATTTAATTTGAAATAAAATTCATCTCTTTCATTTTCTTGGTACATCAGAGGAAAATGGTCATGATTTCTACAATATTGTGCCTGTAGTGTATTTCACTGCAGTATCTCCGTATATTAAAAATTAGAAACGGCTGTTTGGAAATGATAGTGCAGAACTTTGCATTATGCATTTAACATAAGCAAATTTTAACATCCTATCATTGATTAAATAAAATATAGTAGTTGCAATCTATTAGCGCAAGGGTCTCTTCTAGAATATATCCCTTGATGGTAACTTGGCAAACCATGGCAGCAGAGATCTGTCCTGTTTTCTCCAAACTTTATACCTAGTATTTTTTATGTTTAACAAAGAGGAAATGCTTATTGAATTGTTAATCATTAATGTTTGCTGAATGAGTAAGTTAATGTATTGAATTAACTTTTATTAATTTTATTAGTGGGGAAATGGGCATTAGAGATCTTAAATATTACGTTAAATATGGTATTTAATGGTGAGGGAATGATATCTTACTTATTTTAGTGTTTCCTTAGACAATGATCAGTTAGGCCTTTATAAAGTATAAGTTAGTACGAAAATCTTGTTCTGAACAAAACCTAAAAGAGCAGTGCTGCATGAAGGACCCTAATATTGCTTCTTTAGAATATGGAGAAGGGAAAATAAAAATTAAGGGTCTCTTATGTGCTCTTGTATACATTATCTCATTTATTCACCACCACAACAAGGTAGCCTTTTTAATTTTTGCTGATGAGGAAATGGAGCTTTGGGCAGCTAATAAATAAATAGCAAGACTCAGTCCAGACTCCTTTGACTTCAAAGTCTGTTTTATTTTGCACATCTCCTTAACATATTAGCAAAATCAAAACTAATTTACTAATTTACAAACATTATCTATTAACATCCATCTGTAGAAATACCTTTGGTGGAAATGAAGCAGTACATAGAAATGATTCAGAAACTCTAACTTAGTAGATGGACGAACATTAATTAGAGATAGTAACTGAGCATATGTCACCTAAATAAACTAAGCTAGAGAACTAAATTATGTCCAAGCCAAATGAGTATAACTGGGGAGGAAGTGTGAATGAATGAATGCAAAATGACTGCTTTAAACAGTACAGGATTTAGATGATCACTTATGGAAGTCCAATAAGTTCGTCTTTCTATGAGCAACTATTGCATATGTCTAATAACAGGATGGGTCTATCAGGGCCTAGGGAAGGTAGTGGTTGATTATATACCTGAAAGAGCTTTGTCCAGAGACAGAAGAATGAGGAAAGTGAATTATACCAGAAAGATATCAGTGTTCACCTGGACAGGTGAAGCAAAGATGTTTGGAGGCAAGAGAGACATAACCAATGAAGTCACTGAGCCTTTGGTCACATGTTAAGGGTAAGTTCTTTCAAGGACCAAAAGACATGTCTAAGGAGACAGGTGGCCAAAGGCAAGGCCAGTTACATATTTTATGAAAAACAAAAATACCAGCCCCTCATTCAAAAATTGTATGGGCCTAGAAGGTGGCAGAGCTGAAATGACTTGTGCCACAGAAACTGGCAGTGACATAATTTTGGCAAGGGCCCCAGGCAGGTTAGGAAGTGCGATATTGCTCCAGAAGTTTCCCACATATTTGGAGCTTATGGGGAATCTCCCCACTGTGTATGTTCAGATGCGAGTTTCAACTTCAGAGAGATGTCTCTCTCCCAAAGGCTGTCCTCCAGCATCATACTGAACAAGGATACAGCACATTCCCTGCACATCTATGGTTTTGCTCCATGTGAAACTTCCTGGTGCCAGATGAAGTGAGACTTTAGGCTGAGGGCTTTCCCACATTCACGGCACTCAAGGTCTTTGTCCAGTGTGAACTCTCTGATGTTCGATAAGGCTGGAGATTTGACTAATGGATTTTCCACATTCACTGCAGTCATAAGGCTTTTCTCTAGTGTGAACTTTGCATACAATAAGGCTAGAGCTTTAGCCAGAGACTTGCCCCTGTTTTGCTGCACTTATAAAGCTTTTCCCCAGTGTGAATTCCTTGGTGTTGAAAGAAACTGGAGATGGGGTGTGAAGAATTTCCCCCATTCCCCGCATTTACAATGCCTTTCTCCAGTGAGACACTAGTGCTGAACGAGGTGCTCTCTGGTGCTGGGCCCTGGTGGGGAAGGGTGCGTTGTGGGGCTGCTGCCCAGGATTCATGAGTTTTTCCTCCTCGACCAAGTCGCACCTCCACCAGGAGAGTGAGGGCTCCGCCAGGGCGCCCTGCCTCCCCCGCCCAGGCGTGAAAAGCTTGGAGGGCGGCTCTTTGCCCTCTCTTGTCCCGCACCAGGGCACCACTGGTCTGGCTGCGGTGCCCTTATGAGGGGCCACGAAAGACCCAGACCTGAGGCGCCAGAGAACTTTTCCTTTCAGTGCCGGACAGCTAGTTGCCTTTTCCCTCCCGCCTTTTGTTTTCTTGTTCCTTCCTTTCCTGAGGGGGGGGGCGGGGGGCTGTGCCCTACTGAGACAGAAACCCGCCTCAGATGCCAAAACTAAAGTTGAGAGAACCCCTTGCCCAGCTCTTCCTTCGCGCCCCTGGTGGGCTTGGGGGAACAGGCCTTCTTACCCCAACATCGGCCAGTCATCGGTTGCAGGCAGTCTTTGGCAAGAGGACATGTATGTCGACAAGGAGGCTCTTCCGCCCAGGGGAATACCTGTAGAGGATGGCAGGCGATAGCTGTCCCTGGTGGTGCAGCTAGGGGAATATTTCCTTCCGTCCTGAAGGTAAATTCTGAGCAACACAGCACATCATCCACTTTGCAGATGAGACTGGAAAAATCAAGGCCTTTGTCCAAGGTTCCATAGGGGTTTCTGTCCAGCTCAAACCCTCATTCCCAGGAACTTTGCTCTGTTCATTGCTCTTGCTTAACCGTTTGGCCCGGGTTACCATGTTTATAGCAACAGACAGTTCTTGGTGTTTGGACAACATAATCCTGAATAGAGTTAATCTTTAGTCAACAGTCATCAGATTCTCTCTTTAAAATATATACTAAGAGATGGACGGACTCTCTAGCTGTATAGTGGGAAGAGCTAGAATTGCAAGATCATATTAAATTGACATGGCCATTTCTAGATAATGTGCATACTTTTGAGTATGCAAAGATTAGATACCCAGAGAGGGGCAGAGAAGTGTAGGTAAGAGCTGTCTCCATCTAGCAGAGTCTCGATAACAACCCACTGCTGATTTGAGAGGATTTCTGTACAGACCAAAACTCCTGCAGACGACAAAATACAAAAAGCAACTACCTGAGGACTGGCTAGGGATTGAAACCCAGCCCTATTTCATCCCAAAGTCAGTTATTTTCCATTTCAGAAGTCAGATAAGGTTATAAGTACTTGTACATTAATAATTAGATGGGAAAAAATTCTAGAAGGAACCTGAGAATGCTGCAGCTATTCACTGGAAACCAGGAAGAATAAATTAATTGGAAAAAGTGTCGGGGATAAAGGAGAGAACAGAGTAAAAGCACATCAAGACCGAAGCCTAAGACAAAAACAAAAGTTAACCAAAGTTAATCAGATCAGATTCCTGAAGAAGCATTCATGGTTCCCATTTCCCTTTCTCTCATTCACTCCTCAGTTCACTGCATTCTGCCATCTGACTCCACCACACTGGTGAAACATCCATTTCTAAGGTCCACGATGACCTCCTATTGGATAAATACAGTGATTCTTTTTAGTTTTTATATTATTTGACCTCTCTTCATCATTCAAGATTCCTGGCGCCCCTCTCCCATTGAAACGGTCTCCTCTCTCAGTACTTGTATGATTTTCTTTCTATGTATCCAGCAGCTTCTTCTCAGTCTTCTGGTTGTTGGTGTTCTCCAGGTCTACCTCAACTCTTTTCTCAAGGTGTACTCTCCTGGTGCAAGCCAATACATTCTTTTTCTAAAGTCTATATGTCTTCATGTTTAATATAATTTGTTTGTAAGTTTATATTGTAGGGGACTGAAGTTTCTCTTGAGACTATAAGGTCTCCATTGCCTTTAGCTCAAAAAGCCAATACATTTTATGACCTGTACACTAATGACTTCCAACTGTACTCTTGGCCCAGATTTCTCTCCTGAGCTCCAAGTTCAAATATTCAGGCATGGACTGTAAATTTCCGCTCAGAGGTCCTGTGGGCACTCAACTTCAACATATCCAAAATGGAATTCTTATCCAAATCTATTTCTTTTAATCCATCTAAATTGATGACTCACTCAGACCCCTTTCCTCCTTTGTGTTTGTAATTTGTCTCCTTTGCTTCATCATCACTGTCTTTTCCTTAGATACAACTGACACTGTAGCTTCCCAACTGATTTCCCTGCTTTCAGAGTCACCCCTCATCCATTCTCCACACCCTGAGCACTGCACACTCATGTTTGCGTTCGTTCAGTCTCACCTTCTCGATAAGTTAAAACTCCTTAGCGCTGCATAAATGACTGTTCCTTTGCGGTCTATTCCGTGCTACTCCAGCATAATTTCATCCACTTCCAACCTTCCTGCCTAAGCTTTATCACAGTCTGTGTACATTTTTTTCTTTCATTGCAACACATCTCCCCACTTTTCTTTCACTGGTTAACTTGAAAATTCAGGGATTATTTCCTCTGAGATGTTTGTTCTGAGACTCCTCCAGTCTGGATCAAGTTCCTCTTTTATTAATTCCTATGGCACCTATTCCATCCAAACACTTACTACCTTATATCATAACTCTTGATTTGTTTCCTTTTCTTCATCTTTAGCTTGGGAATTCCTTGAGAACAGAGACTAAGTTTTCGTTTTTGTTTTTTTTCTATATAATCCTAACAGT